TCATCCATTTTAACCCTCTCTGCTAGTCTGGCTGCTTTCCAGCCACATTCCCTGAATTACTTGCCATACTTCCTGAGCTGCTTCTGCTCTGTCAGGTCAGTCCTCATGGCCATGCCCCTTTTCTACCTCTTCCTCTTCTCATTCTGCCTCATGGCCCTGACCTAAGACTCCTTGACTGGGAACAGAAGTCCTGCCTCCTATCCTCTCTTGCCCAGCTATAGGCTAGACAGCTTCTTTATTAACCAGTCAGAGATCTTGGGGAGCAGAGTTTACATGATGTTGATCAACAAACATGACAGTGCCCACTTCTGGACTGCAACCAGATCTCGGGACACAAAATTCAGCATCTGAATGCATGGTGCAGCTGACACCAAGCCACATTTATTTACAAGACAGTTGAGGTTCCTTCATTGATACTGCAGCATGAGCTGAAGGGAGATAGCACTGGCCAAACTTCGAAGGAAAGAGTGGCCTAGAGTCATCATCTTCCATGAATATTTTGGCTTTATGATAGGGGTAGAAGTGTTTTTCCATGCTTGAGTTGTCAAGAAGCACAAAAGTAGTGTAGAAGAAACACCTACTCCCATGAGCAATGTGCCACGTTATTATTGTTTCGTGGTCTCGGACAAAGCATTTCTCAGGTGATTAACATGTTTACATGAAGAACACGGTAGTCTGGCTCAAAGCTGAGTCAGCAACAGGAACAGACAACTTAAGACTGAGATACCAATCCCTTTGTCTTATTTTAGCTTCCATCAGATATGTATAAGCTTCAATAGAGAGGCAGTGCTTCGATTTATTTTTGAGACTAGATCTTGCTACATAGCCAAAGGCTAGCCTGCAGTTCAAAACCCTGCTGCTGGGTATCAAAGCAGATGCTGAGACTCATAGCCACACTTTGGACAGAGTGCAGGGAATCTTATGAAAGAAGGGGGAGATAGAAAGACCTGGAGGGTCAGGAAAGCAACAGAACCAAAAAATTTGGGCACAGGGGTCTTTTCTGAGACTAATTCTCCAAACAAGGATATTGCATGGAGAGAACCTAGAACCCTTGCTCAGATGTAGCCCATGGCAGCTCAGTTTCCAAGTCGGTTCCCTAGTAAAGGGAACAGTGACTGTCTCTGACATGAACTCAGTGGCTGACTCTTTGATCACCTCCCCCTGATCGGGGGGCAGCCTTGAATGGTCACCGAGGAAGACAATGCAGCAAAACCTGATGAGATCTGATAGGCTAGGGTAGGAGGGAAAGGGAAGAGGACCTCTTCTATCAGGGGACTTGGGGAGGGGCATGGGAGGAGATGAGGGAAGGAGGGTGAGATTGGGAGGGAATGAGGAAGGGACTACAGCTGAAATACAAAGTGAATAAACTGTAATTAATACAAAGAAAAAAAAAGCAAAACTCCTGCTGCCTCTGCCTCCTAACTGCTAGGATTATAGCCATGTGCTACTACCTCCTGCTCAAAAACTGATGTTTTTAGCAAAAGGATCCTTCAAATTTTTGCCAAGTATCACTTTTTTTCCTTCTAAATCCTATTCAGACGACCTCTTTTATAACTTCACATCCAACCATGCTGTGGTGGCACACGCCTTTGATTCCAGTACTCAGCAAAGGCAAGTGGATCTTTCTGAGTTTCAGGCCAGCCTGGTCTACAGAGTGAGCTCCAGGAGAGCTGGGAGTACATGGAGAAATGCTATCTCAACAGACTGATAAAATAACTTCCCACCCATCCATTCTTGTCATTTTCTCCATCTTTCACTTTAGTCAATGCCCTAACACAGTCCCCAACAGTCTCCTGCTTCCCTCCCAGCCTTTCCCCATCTTTGCTCCTAATACAAAGCAGAGATCAGTCAACCCTTCGTTAGTACTGATTCGATAAATTACTCTCTGGCTTAAAATCCATGAAGACAGCAGGGTGTGATGGCACACCCTTTAATCCCAGCACTTGGGAATCAGAGGCAGGCAGAACTCTATGGGCCCAAGGCCCAACCTTGTCTACATAGTGAGTTTCACGAAGGCTAGGCTACACAGTAAGACACTGTCTCAAAACAAACCAACCAACCAAACAAACAAACAAAAAACAAAAAAGAATACCCAAAGCAAAGAACAAGAACAAAATCCAAAGTGAAACCCTAAAGCTGTAAGCCCTAACTAAGATCAAGGGATGCAGAGATGGCTCAGCCATTAAGAGTACCGGCTGGAGCTGAAGAGATGGCTCAGAGGTTAAGAGCACTGACTGCTTTTCCAAAGGTTCTCAATCACATGGTGGCTCACAACCATCTACAGTGAGATCTGGTGCCCTCTTCTGGCACACAGGCACACATGCTGGCAGAATAATGTATAAATAATAAAGAAATAAATTTAAAAAAAAGTACTGGCTGTGGGGGGTGGGAGGGAGGGGAAGAGTACTGGCGGCTCTGTGAAATGACCTGGGTTCAATTCCCTACACCTAGATGGTGGCTCACAACTATCTGTAACCCCAGTTCCAGGGATACAACAAACATGCACATGAGGCATTGTTTACTGTAGACAGAGTCTTGCCTGACGCTATGCTCCAAGCCTAAGAACTCATAAGTTTTGTGCACCCAAAAGAGTTGGGTGTGGTAGTGCACACTAGCAAACCCAGACCTGGAAAGGCCAAGGCCAAAAGGATCTTGAGTTCAAGGGCAGCTCAGTGTTGGGGGTTGGTCTGGTGCTATGCATTCTAAAGCTGATTACTGGCGCCTAGACTCCCGGTTGCTGCCTAGAGGAAGGCATTCTCATTCACTCTGCACACCAGCCTTTGTGGTGTAAATCTTATTCTACCTAATTTAAAGTTGATTGGTTAATAAAGTTGCGGAAGCCTGTAAATGGGCAGAAGAAATCGAGGTGGAGCTTAGGTTCCCAGGCTTGGGGTCAGAGATGAGAGAGAGGAAAGAGACGCAGAGGAAGCTGCAGAGAAGGAAGTCACCGTGGGAGAGTATGGACTATGAGCACGTGGCCGCTGCAGTATTTAGCATAACTTTAATCTGCTCTTCCTGAACTAAAATTAAAGCAAACCTTTTAATCAGAGTTCATAGAGAGGCTACCAAATCTTGCTGATCCTACCACTTGCATTGAAATTGAACAGTAAAAAGCTTTGCACTTAGCACTAATCAGTGGACTAAACATAACTGAGACCTAAACAAACGAAAACTCATGGCTCCACCCTCTTTAATCTCTGGACTAGCATGGCGGCTGGCCACGTGTAACTGAACTCAGCTGGAAGCCCTAAACAAATATGGCAGCAAAACTACAGCTCCATGCGCTCTCTATCCGTGAACCATCATGGCGGCTAGCCATGTGTTAGCACAGGCTGTGACTGACAATGCCGAACATAGCCATTAGGTGTTGCTAATGGCGTTGTTAGCTCTTATAACCAAAAGTCCTAACATTGTGATCAAATAAGTTTTAGAACCAACTGCATAACAGAACAGTACAGAACAATTTTAAACTGTATGGATTATTCTAGCCATACCAAACCTATCAGCCAGAATTCTTTCCATTTTACAATGAAGAATCACCAGCCTTTTAAATGAAGTACAACATATTTTAAAATACAGTTCTTTCTCAAATTATATTTACCCTCTGGTTATTTTATACATACATTCACTAACCTTCTGCAACATTCTGTATACCTTCAGGTTCCTAGCTCCCTTTTACATTCTTACGTTCTTGCTCTCTCTCTCTTGCTTTTTATAAAACATAAGAACTCTCATCAAAATCCTTTCCATCCTAACATGATCCTGCTAGAGCCCAGTGTCCACGATTTGCTTTTTATAGGCAAAGCAAAAACAAGTTACATTAATACAAAAAGGAGTTCTGAAAATGCCAAATTCTTTTTCTAAAATAACTTCCCTGTAGCAGATAACATAAAGGCAACATAAACACACTCTAAGGAACTTAGAACAAGTTTTAAGGAAGTTGGTGAAACTTCCTCTTTTCTCTGTCTCAAGGTAAAGAATAGGGTGTATAAATGTTTTTCCATAAACAAAGCAGCTTAACAAACAGCTCTCCATAAGATACATTGTAAAAACTGCAGTTTTCTCAATTAGTGCAAACCATACGGCTTGGTTTCATTTAGTAAAATTGATAAAATAAATACCAAAGTATTTTTATTTTCCCCCGAAGGATCGAGAAACTTTCAAATTTTCTGTTAGACTACCCAAGATCATTGTCATACCCAAATGCCTGATGAACTTTAAACGTTTTATTATAGCCTTAAACATTTAAACAATTTTTTTAAAACCCATTTTTGCAATATCAAAATAAAGTACCTTTTTTGTAGGAGAGAAGTCACAAGTTATAACCATAATCTTAAAAGTCAAAACCAGATTTTAAAAACCAGAATTTACCAGTGCAAACAATTTAATTTCTAAAACCAATACCAATTTAAAATAACTCATCCTTTTAACCTAGAAGGAAATGAGAATTATTTGACCAAGATTCCCCCCCCCCTTTTTTTTTTACCCATACCAAGATGGCGGTCACATTTTAACCCACATAGTAAAGTCAAGATGGCGGTGAGACCCTATAAACACATAGGCACACATATACATTTTAAACAAGTTTCATGAGGCCTTTCAGAACAAAAAACAGAAGGTATACACAAACAAATACTGCACAGAGACATTGAGACAAAAAACACCCACCAGCTGGCCAAATTTCCCAGGACCAAAACTGACTCTTCTGGGCCAGGCCGAACATACTGATTCCTCCTGCATTGGTTGCAGGAGGCATGGGCCCTGATGTTGCCCCAGGAAACACCTAGTGGTGCTCACTGGGACTAGGCAGTAGTCTGGGCCTGTGAGACCAGTCCTTCTGGAGCTTACAGTATGGAGGGGTGACTATGCCCTGCCCGAGGCTTTCGGGAGCCGGGAGTACAAGGTCACTGCACTCCACGAAGTGTGTCTGGCAAAGGTCTAACAATTTCACTCCCAACAGACACACACAAAAAACAAAACAGACTAGACAGATTACCCACCAAAATCTGATGAAGCTAGGGGCATCCCCCTGAACTTCGGCAGCTGTGACCTCCAGTGCGTCCACATTAATCACGTCTTGCTACCCAGATACTGACACCCCGAGCTCTGAGGAATTTTCAGAATAGAATACAGAAAGTACTGCACCTACAGACAATACACAGAGACATTTAGACACTTACGGCCGGCATAAAAAAACCTCCCGGATAAGCCCCCAAAATGTGCTGCCCAGTTCATGAACCCCAAAAGACCAGGAATAAACAGACTCTGCTGTAAATACATGAGGTTCTTTTTATTGTAAATTACAAGCTGCAGCTTGGGCCCACACACCCCCACCGTTGAAGTGGTGGGAGCCCAGAGCCCCTCGCCCAGGTTAGTTGGGTGATATATAGATTCTGGTCCCTCCCAGCATGCCCAAGGCAGGGGCAATTCTTGCCTAGCAAGCATCTATTGGTCAAAATGCTACATTTTGAATCGATTGGCTATAGGAAGGTTCCCAGGCCATTAATGATCTGGTGTCCCTCCCTAGGGGGATAGTCCAATTTCCTAGCAACTGTATCTTTAGTGGGTGGGGAAAGAATGCAGTAAGGCGGTCCTTCCCCTCAGGGCATTACTGGAACTCTCCACCCACCTAGTTCAGGCCTTAAATAATAGCTGCTAATTTTTAATCAAACGAACTGCAGCAAAGACCTAGAGGTTAGGGTTGGAATTTGTAGACTCACCCACTGACTTCCAGGACGCTTGGCTGAAAAACTCAGGAACATAGAAATTCTCGGTTAGGATTGCATCTGCCTTCAAAGAGGTTGGTACACGCCAGCAGACAGATCTTTGAGCCTCGGACTCTGCCAAACCCTGCCTTGCCCTGTGTAAGATCTGCAATAAACAGGTAAGTGAAGACCTCTTTCTAAGTTGGTAAGAATGGTGGCAAATTATCAAAGATAAGGGAGTCCCACATAACATCGGGCTTCTCAGAAGGACCAGAGGTTTGGCCTTGTGTTATGGTTAGTACCTGAAGAGGTTACAATGTGGTGGGACTGAACCATTCACTGGTGAGATCTAACCTTGCGTAACTGAGTTGAGGTCTAACCTCAACTCAGTTACGCAAGGTTGGTTTCGAATTGCAGGACGCCCAGTTGATGAGAGTTGATGTGAAAAAGTGAATATTGTATATCTGGTGTCAAGTGTTCTGTGTGAGACTGGGTGCCTTGGCACAGCACTGTGATCTCTGGCAAAAAACCAGACTTTTAAGGGTAACTCAACTACATGAGTTTTCCGCCAGCCTAGATAGCAAGACTGTCTCAAGTAGAGGATTCCCCTGGAACTGGAGTTACAGATGGTTGTGGTTCACCATTTTGGTTCTGGGAATGGAACCCTGGTGTTCTGGAAGAACAGAAGGACCTTTTAACCAACAGGCATCTTTCTAGCACAGAAATTATTATTATTATTATCATTATTTTATTTGAGATAAGGTTTCACGGTGTAGTTGTGTCTGTCCTGGAACTCGGTAGACCAAGCCTCAAACTCACAGAGATCTGTCTGCCTCTGCCTCCCAGAGTGCTGGGATTAAAGGCGTGCACCACCACGCCCGGCCAGATATTTCTTAAATTAAGTGTTGGTGTTGTACATGGTGTATAAATCCTGGTAGACTGTGGTTTTTGTTTTGTTTGAGACAAGGTCTCTCTATGTCATCCTGGCTATTCAGGAAGTCAGGTATCCTCCTGTCTTTGCCTCCCGAGTCCCAGTGTTAAAGGCACACACCAGGACACATGACTGGTTCATTTTTGTTTGACTGAGGTGGAGCCTAGAGTCACCCAGCTCCTCAGTTCCTGTGAAAATTTTATATCATTCTCCTGGGGTTGTAGGTGCTATAACCTTCTTGGGAGTTTCTGTTTGTTTGTTTTGTTTTACATACTGTATGGTACAAGCATTTTAAAATTACATTTTTAAAATTACAGGTGTGAGCACCTGTGGGTCTTGTGCTCAGAGGTCAGCTAGGCCCTCTCCCTCTGCCACGTGGGGCTTGGGGATTGAACTCAGTTTGTCAAGCTTGGCAGCAAGCAGCTACAGGCCCTTTAGTGCCATCTCACTGGCCGCCACGTAAACAGACTCTAGGATGACTTTGTTGCTAGCCACCATTTCTGGGACTTCGGTTGTGCTGAATCTGTAGATCCAGATGGGAACCCTGGCATCCTCAGGTTTAGAATGCCTTTCCCCTCATCGTCCCATAACCTTTTGTGGCTACATGCCTCCCATGCGTGTAGCCCAAGATGACCAGGACCTCCAGACAGAGCCTCTAGCCTCTACCCTCCATGTTCTGGGATTTCTCCATGTGCAGGGATTCTGGGCGTGCACCACCACACCCAGTAAAAATCCTCTCCAGGTTGATCAGCCGGAGGGGGAAGTTGGTACTTACCAATTCTCTCCACGTGGTCGGTCCTGGTTCGGGGTGTGCAGGCTTCCGGGCTTTACAGCTTTATCCCCCGAGGACATGATGAATATAGAAATATGATGATCAGTTAAATGAATTGCGGACAAACAAGTAAGTTTTGAGACTGTGTCTCAAGTCCTGTAACTGTTGAGAAATCATCTCTATCCAAGACCGGATGTATCTTCCCGCCACGCATCGGTAAACACCTGCAGATTAGTGGTTTCGGCCTCCCTCGAGGCAGGTACTTGGGATGATTATCTGTTTTATCTTTTTAGGAAATTTCAAAACACATAATCGTATTAGAGGATTTTTCTCCATTACTAATTCTCCCATTAGCCTCACAGATCAAAAAGAAGGAAAGAAAGAAAAAAAAAAATCTCAGGAGAAATTATAATCTTTCATACGTTCCACTCTTTTGTTTCTCCTGAATTTTGACTCCTGCCTCCCCGCTTTCCTTTTCAAATCCGCAGCTCACGAGCACCACCACATGGACAGAAGTGATATCTCTTTTCCTCCAGACTTAAAATATTTAATTTTTAATCTAGATTGTTGGTGGGAACGCGGGAGTATGAGTGCCGGGTGCTGAATTCAAATGCTGGGGTATCGAACTCAGGTCGAGTACTAAATAAACTCAGGTTCTCTGCAAGAGCGGGAAGTGCTCTTAACCCCCAACCATCTCTACTCAGTCCTTACAGCCACCCCCTCCGGCCCCCGTGTCGAGCCCCCCCCCCCCCCCCCCCCCCCCGCAGTATTGTGGCTTTGCTACTTAAGGCAAAAACTCTGAGCGGTGTCACCAGCTTCCCTCCCCTCTGGAGACAGGGACTTTGGTAGTCCTCCAGGCTGGCCTGGACCTTGCTGTAAGGCTAAAGAGGACCTTGAATTTCTGACTCTCTTCCCTCCAGCTTTTCCAGGCGTGCATCAGCGCTGGTGGTTCAATGCTGGGGGCTGAACCCAGGGCCTCCTTGGTGCTGAATAACCTTACCCTCCCGAAAGAACTACATCCTCCTTTTGTATTTTGAGACGAAGGTTTCACTAACTTGCCCGGGCTGGCTTTGACCTCACTCTGTAATTCAGACAAGCCTTGAATTTTTGATCCTCCTGCCTCAGTCTCCTGAGTTAGCTGGGGTTACAGAGGCTGGTCACCCGAACCAGCTGTTTTTCTGGTTTTAGCCAAGGAATCTCAGTAATAGAGTGAATTTTTTCTATCAGGGATTTCTCTCCCTCTGCATTTCCGACTGCATTTTTTTCCTTCTTTCTGTTTTTTTTTTTTTTTTCCCTCCAATTGCTCTTTAATAAATTAAAAGCTGAAGAAATAAGCCAGAACAGACTCTGTTCAGGACTGTCTTTAGGTTTTCTGGTCCTGGCGAAATGATCTTCAAGAAACTGTTGCCTTGCTTGAGCATTTGTCTGGAAGATTGATGGATGGCAGGCAGTTAGAACTTGGAACTGGGGAAGGGGAGCAGAGCCACTGCCAGGCAGCAGAAGGGGAGGCAGTGTCTGGAAGAAAGAGCCAGTCAAGGAAGGGGTGGGGAGGCATGTGTTTGCAGCCGGCAAAGACCTTTCGCAGACATTGTGCCTTTGTGGGTTGACTGCAGAGGCCCTGTGTAGGCAGCGTGTATCCGAATGTATGCGTTGTTTCTCTCCGATCATGGGTCTGTACGAACTGCTGACCGCAGGAAACAGGAATGGATTTTTGTTGAAAAGATTTTGCAGTCCGAGTGCTTGTTTGTGGTTGTGTGGTATGTGTGGCTGGCTTTTTGCCAAATGCGCTGTTTCTGGTTCCAGCTCTCTCTCTCTCTCTCTGAAAGTTTAGTGGATGGCTAACAGATTAAGCCAAGACACAACAAAGTCAGAATTTAGAAGAAAATACAGAGCCAGTGTGAGGTGGAAACAGAAGCTAGTGCAAGAAGAGAAAGGATGAAAGGAGAGAGACTCAGAGAGAGGGGACTGAGAAAGCAGAAGATAAATAATAAACTCCTTCCTTAGGAAAGGAAGAAATTTCTGAGCAGGAGGGTAATGACAAGCATTGCACACTTCAGATAAGTGTCGGATAACCCCAGTTTTTCTAATACTGGGTGGGTGGGGTGTTCATCTCTCTCATTTCTTTCTTGGCCTATTTTTTTTTTCTTGAATTGTGGCTGTTTTGTGTATATTTTTGTTACACGGGGGTGTTTGAACTCTTAATCATTCTGAGAAGAGTATAAACGGTTTTCCTTCTCCTCCTCTTCCTCCTCCTCCTTCCGTCCTCCCCAACCCTGGGGTTTCTCTGTGTACAGGCTGGCCTTGAACTCAGGTCAACCGCCTCCTGTCTCCAGGGCTGGGATTAAAGGTATGTGCCACTACTTCTAGGCGACTATAAGCAATTCTTAGGGGATTAAAGACTTTGTTGCTGGTGGTGGTATAGGAGGCTGTTTGGACACAGTGGAAGGATGTTCTTTGTGATCTGGAATTCATGGAACAGAATGGACAGTTTGGGTGATTAATAATGTGTCAGGTGCATGGCTTATTTCAAGGACAGACGCTGGAATGCCTCACATTCCAGGAAGTGACGTTACTGCTCTCAGTGCTAACTTAAGTTTAACAAGGGTTATCTGCATCTTCAAGGAGGTGTTTAAGGTAGTCTTAACACT